CTTCTCTTCCCCAGATTTGGGTGCAACAAACGGCTGCTGGTCTTCTCCGAGAAACAATCAACAACGAACACCAGCAATTCGCAAACCAAACCCGACAATGGAAGTATTGTTCTTATCGTTCAAGTGTATGAAAGCACAGATCGGCCAGTATCTCATTCGATAAAGTCTGTTCCTTTGAAGAGAAGTAAGATATGGATGATATTTGATGTAGTTACTGACCACAGCAGATTAAAGGTGGAGGGGTCACAAATTATTAGAGAAGAGACTCAAAATCTTGATCCCACCCACTCACTTACATATCTCTCTAGCATGGGGGCTCAAACTTCATGGACTTCGTTCGGGGCATCTTCTCGCCTTTTCCAAGATTTCTTTCAATCGCTTCTTTTCTTCTACGTCCTCTTGCGGACAGGAAACAAATCGTTTTCAGTCAAAACTGTCACCTATTCGTCACTTCGCGAGCAGTGGTTCGATCGGCTTTACACTCGTCCACATAGCATCCACAATCCCAAGCTACAACACATCCGCATCCCACATCCGACATTCCACGCTCATATACAGGGATAACATGGATCTTGGGATTGTTACATATTGATCCTGTAAGCAAAATCGTGTGCATGCATGCTTCGAATTTTCACCCAAACAAATGGATCATGCGAATTGAGATTACTGGAGCGATGTGATGCGATGGCATGCAACACTCTGCTCTTGCATTTGCTGTGTGTAGCTACGCGACTTTTCCTACAAATCTAGTGGTTCTTCAACAGGGTTCCACGATAGCTATCGACCAGTTCACCCACGCAACCCCACACCGCTTCTTGATTGCGCATTCATACTTTGAAATGAACAAAACTCTTACAAAAACCATGCTGATGAGGAGGTGAGAGGAAACTATTTCCTAGTGATGCGGCATCATCAGATCAGATCCAACTCAAACGAGCTACGGCAGCACATTGTCAACATTTCTATTCGACGTTTATGTATACTCGGTCAAGCGAGCATGATTTTTGACTCATCTTCAAGCGGCAACTGTTCCATACACTAGTCGTTTGCCTATCATCAACGCCAACTGAGTTTAACAAGTTCTGTCTAATGCTAACATAATTTCTAGCGGAAACCTTTACTCAAAACACAAGAGGCGTCAGTTGTGACATGACTTCCTTACCACCATCGATACATGAGCTCGCATAGAGTTCATACGTTATCGCCAAGATTAATTCCAATGCAGCCTTTCGAGGCAGAATACGACATCTGCTGTGCGTGCTGCAATCTCTTGATTTCGGTCTCAGGAGACGGTGATAGTAGCCAAATTGATGACCCGGAGCACTACTCGGGAAAAAGACACAGATTCGGTATTAAGGTTATCGTCATTCATAAGTCCAAAACATTGACGCAAACACATACGCCATAAGTACAGTTGTGGATAAATTCCAAGCATACACACTGAAAGTTGGTTATCCTCGCATGGCTCGTTCCTTAACCCCGCACTTACCAATAATTTTGAAGGATACCGGCTGCTTAGTGAGCAACAGAGCCTCAAGTGACCCCGCTTTCGGGTTCGAGCTGATGGAAGTTGAAATTATTGCTTAGTTGCATGTGAAGACGACGATCTTCGACGGCTAATCACTGTATCATGCGCGATCCTATATTGGGTACACGTATACATGCACATGTACACTTGTTTGTTTGCTGGAATTGTCACAACTCTTCCAATATATCTGTTGGATTTATTATCTGAAGATATAGCCCAGCCTATCACTCAAGACTTTCTATGCCCATTGCATGAAGACATGGGTCACATGGCGGCATTGTAGAGAGATTAGCTCTCCACCGTCTTCCGTGGGTATTCTTTTACATGTAATCGGTCATAAAGATGTTACTTTTTCCCTCAGCCATCAATCAGGAGCGCAAAGCACCTTCATCTTCGCAACAATATTCACCAGATGGTTTCGTTCTCCATTTTCATCCCCTGCTTTCATGATTCCAGGAAACGTCACGCAGCTAATTTCTCGCTCGTTCAATGTATCTTCATCCTCTCCCCCAATATCTTCCATTCTTTCATCGTCAAACATCGTTTGTTGATGTTCTTCAATTATGGGCATCATTATACTAAAGACTGCCTTTTGAACTCGCAGTAATCGTGAAAGGTCAATAGCGGCATTAATTATGGCTTTTAGCGACTGGTCTCTAGCTTCAGTACTTTGAACATCAAATATCGGATCCAGCAAACTATTGAGTTGCGCAACAACGGTATTGACAACAGAGCTGGTCTCCGATTTAAGCTTTTCAGGAGATTCTTTCAAAAGAATCCCGAGCGTTATCGATCGCCATTGGTTCATTACATCTTCGGGGCCTTTACATTTCGATTAGCTCTTCAAACTTCGATTAACATCCAGATGGCATTTCTCACCATAAGAACCCAAAGTTATTTCCGTTCTCGCGATCTCCATGGCTTGTTGCTCTGGAAGCCCGACAAAATATGCCCGGAAGATATCAAACACTAATATACTTGATACGAGTGATTGTATGAGGTTAATTTTAGATGATGTTGCTAGATGGTGATACATGGGTACCCATTGCTCCAACTGTTGCCGCACTTCATCTGAAGCCTTTTCTAAATCTAATACAAGTCAGCTTAATTTAATACGTTACTATACCACATTGTTAATAACAATACAATATTCACACATTTTGCCGCTTAACAAGCGCTCATGAAATTTCTTCCAACATGGCCGTGCCAAAATAAACCTCCAAACCTACCAATTCTTCCTCTCCTAAAATTCGATATCACCCAATTCTGCAACGCATTCCCGATCCACTGCATCTTCTCCGCTATCACCTCATCCGTAACCTGTTCCCCTCCGACCCCACCCCTTCCACTACTACTCACCCACTCCTTCAATCCCCTCACCTGACGCCTCAACGCCATAATCTCCTCATCCTTCCCCCTCATCTCTCCCATCGCATCATTATACGCTTCGCGAAACGCATCCCGATCCAACATCAATGCTCCCACACGACTCTGCACCTCAGCCGCACTGGGACAATTCGCATGCGCGGATCGGAGCAGGCGCAGCTGGGAATCTGTGGCGAGGTAATTGCTGTGCAGGGTGGAATGGGCGGTCTGGAGAAGATGGAGGGTTTCGCGCGTGTGGAGGAGTGTGGTGGTTAGACTGTGGGTTTGGGAGTCTGGGGGGAGAGGGTCTTGTTCTTCTTCTGATTCTTCGTCGGAGGAGGTGAAAGTGTGGGCATGCGGGGGATAGTCTTCGTGACCGTAGGGGTCGTGGGAGGGGGGAGAAGGTGTTTTGGAGCGCGAACGAGAATGTGGATGTGGATGTGGATGAAAATGGGTGGTTGATTGCGGATTAGGGTGAGAGAGTCGAACGCGTGGTGGTGCGGTTATTTCTGCCAAGGAAGATTGCGATTGCGATTGCGATTGCGATTGGGATGTTGTAGAGGTACAAGGAATGGAATCGTAATCTCCTACTTGGGATTTTGTATTTGTAGACCTGGATCCGGATTCAAATCCAGAAATAGAGATGGAAGTGGATGCAGCGCGATGCGGAAGCGAATGCGCAGGATCGATTCGAGAATATGAGGGTTTCGGCGCGTGTTTCTTTTCTCTCTCGCTCATCTTTGCGGGTTGTTGTTGGAGAGGATGGGACCCTTTTATATATATAGATAGATGGATGTGTGGATGGGTAAATGATGAATAGATGAATGAGACTTTGTGTACCTCGTGAACAGGTACAGTGTTATACAAATACCGTAGTATATCATCTGGAGTTTCAATCAAATATCTAGATTGAGAGCTAGATGGATGCCTGCCGGTGTGAGAGCTGAGATGGCGAGGAAAGGTAGGTAGGTAGCTCCGTGTATCGCGTAAGTGGGATTTTTCAATCTTTCTCTTCTGACTGAAAGCTAGTCGATTCGCAAAAGATGGGATGGAAATGAAGAGGGCATATTGAGCATCAGATACCTAGTGAGTAGGTAGGTAAACAGGTAAAGAATAACTCGAACCCAAATACCCTTTTCTTCTCAACAATCCTCGATGCAATAAATAACAATACAGTGTCTTCCTGAAAAGAAGATGAAGAAAGAAGAAGAAGCTCTTCCGAAAACTCAAACTCACGAAGAATAAAACAATCAAACAAATCATCGAAAAAGGAAATCCCGAAATGAAATGAACCCTCGTACCTACCTTACCCACGGAGCAAAGCGAAACAAATGAATCTTTGTGTGGTGGAGAGAATTCATTCAGATTGAGCAAATGAAGGAAGATGAGAGGTTCTTATTCTGCTGCCTGGAAGTAGGAGATGCGATGAGGGATGGATTGATAGAGGGATGGATGCATTAATTTCCTGGGTAGATGTAGGTAATTAATCAATTGTGCTCGGTACTATTTGTTAAGCGCTAGGGGATTGGTTTGTGAGGAAAGGATGGGCCTGGGTGTGTGCGTTTTGGTTTGAAATTGGATGGATGAGTGAGGGGGGTTAACGGGAGATCTGCAGTGTGTGTGTCAGATGGTGGGTGTGGAGGAATTGATATTGGGATTTTGATTATCGTGTTTATAAAAGGAGTAAGAGCTCAACAATGTAGACCTATACCTTGGGGAACATTCCAAGGGAAAGTAAGAGAGAGTTTGGAATGAGATTGAAAAAGATACTACGATTTCCAGTCCTTTTCCAGAACATGATGCATTATGAAAGGGAATATTCAAAGATAATATTTTGGTCGCCAAATTCCAGTTCATGAGTGAGACTGCGGGGTTGATATCATAGGTATGTCACACACAAACACCACATCAAAATCGATCCAATCCAAAGATTTCTCCCGTAATCAACATCTTGGGGATCCGATCTTTCAATGCCTATTCCAATTCCAACTCCCAATTCCATCACCAAATTTATCAATTACTGGCCAAACCAGGACGATTTAAAATCTAATCCCCCTCCCCCTCCTCATCATCTACCTCGCCAAAAAAAAAGAGACCCCCAAAAACCATGCCCCCTAAACCCCCCCGTCCCCGCTTGATGCATTTCCTCTGCATCCCCCTCACAACCCCCTCCTCTTACCCCCAACTTCAACACTCCCTCCGCGTCTTCAAAAACGACGTCACCTCTCCCCCCACCTCCGAACACCCCAACCGTGTTCCCATCCCCTCAGATGCCATCCGTCCCCTTTCCACCCTACATCTCACCATCGGGGTGATGAGTCTCGAAACCACGGAGCGAATTCAAGGCGCCATATCCATTCTCCAAGGAATATTCTCTTCCCCCTCCCCTTCCCTAGTTCCCAAGAAAGAAAAGGAAAAAGACGGCACCGAAAAAAACCAACCATACAAAAAAGACAATGAAGAAATCAAACTCCCCAAGATAACACTCACCTCCCTCCACCCCATGCACCAACCCTGGTCAACATCCATTCTCTACACCTCCCCCCGCGATCCGCACTCGCATCTCCAAACCTTCTGTCAATCCCTCAAAGACGTCTTCACAAGCGCCGGGTTCATGCTCCCCGAAGAAAAAGGACGAAGCTTATTACTGCACGCTACGATTGTCAATACAATCTACGTGCGCGGGGTACGTCAAGATTCTAGCACCGGCACGAGAGGAACCGGGACCGGGAACGCACGTGGAGATAGAGGAAGAGGGAGAAGAGGAAGTTCCGCGGGCCATGGAAAGCACAAAGCATGTTTGATGTTTGATGTACGGGATATCATTTCTAAGTACGCCGATTTCACGTGGATGCGCGATGTACGGGTTGAGAAAGTGGCGATCTGTAGGATGGGGGCGAAAAAGAAGGGGGATGGGGATGAGGAGTATGAGGTGGAGGCTGAAATCGAGGTACCTTGCATTTGAGTAGCTGGTTTCATTGCATGTCAGTGTTTATGGAAAGCATTTGGATTGAGATCTGTAGCATTGGGAGTGGCGCCGAGGAATAACGGAGCTAGGTATATCATGAAAATATATTATGGTACTTGGGCTCTGTAGATTCTGCGATAATTGGAAGTGCAAGAGAGGAAACACCAAGTAGTGTTGTCTTTGACAAAAGGTATCTGAGACTGAAAACATGGGTAGCATCTCTCTTTCCTACATCTTATCTCGTGCCCCGCATCTCCAAATCACTTTTGATATGCAATGTACATCAATAAATGCCAAGGTCTCGGAAGAATTGAACCTTCTGATTTGATGCGTCTGTCGTGACTTCATGTGCTGAGTAACCATGACATTGAATCTGGTAATCCATCACCTCGTCACCTCATCTAACTAAAATTCCTCCTCGACTTCCGTCATCCATAGACAAGTTTGAGGGGGAAAAGAGAAGCTAACAGAAACAAATAAAAACATTTCCCTCGTGTGAACCAATAGAAAGAAAAAAGAGAAAACCCCCATAAGAAAACCATGTATGCCATTTCCAGACAACATAAAGTATGTGAATGCAATCCGAGACGCCTGAGCTATGGGGAGCTTTGTTTTGTAAGAGAAGTATACTGCTCGTGCGTGAACTTCAATGTCGTCACAAGAGCCCCGATAGGCAATACTTTTGGTTACTTCTGCCACATCAGATATCCTCAAGCACGAGAACAATCTTCCATCATCGGGGGGTTTTTGAGGGGGGTGTGTGCATGCGGCCGTCCTTCAAGTGGCATAGAACTTCTTCAAGACCTTCTCAACCTCTTCGTACTCCTCCTTCACCGAAACCAACGTTTCCTTGATTCTTGCCAAACATTTCTCCTTGTCAGGTTCGTCCGTTGTACCAGCTTCATCTTTCTGCTGTCCATAATGTTGAATCTTCTCACAGCTGTCCTTCACCTTTGTCAATCCCAATGTTGCCGAGGAGCCCTTCAAGAAATGACCGAGCGATGAAAGCGTTGCTAAATCTTTCTCCTCACTACAAATTGTCAGTACTTGCACTCATACCTGCGTCCGCAGATGCCCATCTTCCTGAATATATTATACAAGTCGACCGACACCAATATACGAGCTCCACTTACAGTGCATCATCCATCTTGACAAAAGTCTGCTCGGCCTGCTCAAAGAATCCAAAAACGATAGAACGACTGAATTCCCGCTCATCTTCGTCATCGTCCATCTCTAGAATTTGTTCGAATGTGGCCGAATCGATATTCTCTCCGAGATCTGGTAGACCAACGGACCCATCATCACTCTGTTTTGCGCTAAAGTCAGTTTCATCCCAATGAAATTTATAATCTTGGGGTCAGGCAATGCGCAAGGAAATAGTTACCCTTTCATCATCTTGTTCCTCCACCTCGATTTCCTTGGGTGGTGGGACAACAGGAACTGGCGATTTTTCTTTGACCGGTTCGGGTTTAGGTGCGACGACTGGTACTGTCTTTGGCGCTGGTGTTGGTGTCGGAGTAGAAGTAGAAGAGGACATTGTGAGGATTAAAATAATGTGCGAACGACAAAAGTTGTCGCTCAACAGATGATGAAATGGTGTGTAGCAATTTTTTTGTTGTAAAGTTGTTCAGTGAGTGGGTTTACTTGCTTGCTTCAGATGGCGATGGTGGGGTGGAAGGTCAAGGCAGGGTTGAATGAAATAGAAGACGGGTAGAATAGAATAATAATAATAATATCTTTCCTTCGTCTAATAAATCTTGCTAGAAGTGGGGATAGATATAGTAGAATTCAAGGTCTATAGGTAGATGGGACGCTTTCATTGGTCATTTGTAATTATTTTTCACTCCAAAGAGTTGAGTGTGGATGGTAAGAATAGTACTTCGTGTGTGTATAGAAAAGGTGTTTCTCGAATGTGAGTGGATGGGTGAATGGGTGAATGGTAAGTTGTGAGGTGAATATGTTGATGGATGTGGGAAAATGGTCCCTCGGAAAATCTAATCCCCACAACAAAAGCCCAATGTTGTATTTATTGTTGTAAAGGCGTGGAATCCTTTGATATTGCTTGGGTATTGGTACAAATCTTGGAATTTCACAAATCGTACATGCTGGGTACCCAGATATCCATAGAGAGAGAAGAAATCGAGTAGGTATATATATATATATATATATTTGCATCTGTGCCTAGATATCTTTCCATCTGTCTATATGGGGGGTGTACAAAATATGTTGATGTCCGGATAGTGAATATGTGATTAGACCTGACCTGATCTGACCTGACCTGACCAGACCAGACCGACCAACCCAGCCAGCCAGCCAGCCAGTCAACCAAGGGAGAAAAAAGGATGAACCAGTTACTACCTGTGACAGGCAGACTGGAAGTAATCATCTATCTACCTAGCTGCGGTGTCTTCGGACTTTGGAGCACTTTGGAGCACTTTGGAACACGGAGGATTCCATTGGGATATTGAATATTAGTTAGTATCTGTCTGATGATTGATTAACATCTTACATCTTTCGACTTGATGGACTAATATTTTGTTATTTTTCTCTTCCTCCTGTTCATTTACTTTCTTCTCTACTTCCCTTCCTTTCCCTTCTCTTTCCCCTCCCCTCTCCTCTTTCCCTTTCCTTTCCTTTCCTTTCCTTCCTTCTTCATAAAGGAGTTACGGAGAGGGGTACAAGAAAAGGGTGCCCCAAATCCCGCAGAGATCGATATCACGAAAGAAGGGAAGTTGAACAAGATGTTCCGGATCATTCATTCCAAGAAGTGGATGGATGTATGAATGCATTCGGTGGGTGATAGTGGGTTTGCAGTATTTCTTTTGCAGCCCCCATTCTATTATTAAATGTAGCATGTAGGGTCCTTCTCTCCCAAGCCTTTCTTGCACACTTGTTGGTCACAGCACATTGGATCTCTGAATGTCCATCATGAGAACAAATGAGAGCGAAGTTTTGGAATGGACGGTGACCAGTGGTTTTCAAGTGTCACTCTGATTTATCATGACCCGGTCCTTTGATATATCTGCCAAGTGCGTAACCTTACGTACGAGAGGTCGTAACCAGAAGAGCAAGGAGCCACGGATTGTTCTAGACTCCGGACCAATCTGAGTTCATTGTTGATACGAGCATACTAAGTTCGACAGAAGAACCTTCATCCTTAGGAATGTTTCAGCTCAACCTCATGAGATCTTTTTGGTAACAAACATCCACTCGGTACTCGGTAGACTCCATGACCAGATTATTCTTGTGATGATGGAGGAGGACCGTTTATTACGTGAATGATGAATTAGTATGCGCTGTGCTTATTGATGAGAGCCATCTACTTGCCGTAACCAAGATGAGTCATCCGGTATTTTTATCAAGCACCTAGGCATTTATATACTTTGCTACTGTGAAGGGAGACATCATGTTGTGCTTAAACGACAATTTGAATTTTTTTCCTATTTTAGGCAGTGTTACCGTATTGATGTCCAACTATGACGAAATATTATGGACAAAAACAGGGATCGACGTCATTTTTCACATGCTTACTAAACTATCCGAAGGACATATTTGGCCAATTAGGAAGAGGATAGCAGATGAGGAGTTACTTAATCGGGATACCTACATAAAGTCAGATTGTTTCTTTCCCTCACTCACACTCATCTCATGTGATCCGAAATAAGTGGTCTTGGCACATCAAAATCAAATCTTATCCTCGTGTGTTGTCAACGAAAAAAGCAAGTTTTTGTTTTTAAAGCTTCCCATCCAATCTTTCCCCCTTATCACATTGTCGCACATTATCTTCAAAAGTAGCCTCTTCCCTTGGACAGTTCTATCTCCTAAACTTTGGTATCACCAGGAACCCTCATCAACCGTAATAAATCATTCTACTCATATGATGTCGAGTCTTAGGTCGATCGAACAATAGGAATGAAGATGATCCATTATCAAAACACGAGATTTCGAGTCAACAAGTTCTGGCATCTAGATTCGTTTAGATTCTCTTGGGTTTGGAGAAATCAGTTGATCAGACCTTACACAACCTTCTACAATCGTCCATGCATTCAACTGATTACACGGACACGGATCATTGCATGCAATGGCATCATTTCCCGGCCATGTGGTCCTAAAGTCATACAGCATTTCCGAGAAACTTCAGGGTTCGAAATTCAAATGTACCGACATACATCAAGCCGAAGATAAGACCTAATTATTTCAGGAAGGGAGGTAGATTGCACGAGTACTACCTATAATTCTCCCAAAATAAGGCGGAAGTTTCTTGGTCATTGGTATTACTACCTATCAATACCGTGTGATATGTCATTCGCTGTAACACACACTTTCACTTAACCCATACATGCAGTTTCTTCTGCTCTTTTTTTTCATCTCCTACATATTAAGTCATCCTGCAAAGCGCCCTCCCGGCTGCTCCGAATCAGTATGGCAGCTAAGTTTAAATCCCGAGATGTGGCCATGTCAGATTAGGAATAATTTGAAAATCTTACCCTCTCTCGCCAATTGTTGCTTTTGACTTGAGATGGGATCGAAGATGAGTTTTCTCACACATAAACAACCTCATCCCCAAAATATGGATTCGAAGCGGACCAATCTGCAGGAAGCATGTGCCGTCTTACCGAGGTGTCATTCGAGCAATGTGTGAGGCTCTCGATCTTGGACTTACACCATGAGTCTCCAGATAGTTGATATGGTCATTTAACAAATCACATCCAATCGCATGGAATTTACAATCCGAAAGTTCCAGGCATACGGGAGAATCGTACCTGCACGCAGACAGAAAATCATCTCCACATTTGGAAATGTCAAATGAGGCCTCTGTAGTATCAAGTCAACCAATTGCAAATCTCATAGGAGATGCCTAGCTGGTATCAACTGTATGGCTATTTTGTGCTCAAAATCTGTTATATTGGACATTACTCATTGCCACTCACTCAAGGAGGACTACCCGGTAATCTTACAGCCGGACCTTGTCCCCTTCTTAGGGAGAAGGCACAGTGGCCTTGCTTTGCAATTTTGCAACATATATATTCTACTCTGAGTTGTGAAACGTGCCCCTCTTCGCTCAGCAATGGGGTATACAGAGTTTAAACAACCGGCCATTCGGCTCCCTCTGATTGGGGATCTAACTCTCCAGAATGTTGTGATACTTAAGTTGAGGAACACATCATCTCCTAAGTCTTGGTATGGACTGTTTCGAATGATCTAGGAGTCACCAAACTTCAAGTCTATATTTACCTGGGCCTCATGGATGATACTGTGACCGACACTGCTCAGCCTCAGATACACGATCTGGTAGTCGACACTATTGTAACAAATCGTCACAATATGCTTTCGCCTGAAAGTACACCAATCACCAATCAGCACCGAGGCTGGATAGTAGGACGGAGAGGAGACGTCGTATCGAATATTTACCCCGAGCTTTTACATGAAGCTCGTCGCAGTCACTGCTTGATGCCACATTTCCGGCATAAAGCTCTTCCGCATTTTGGAGACACAACTGATCCCGCATGCCCAGCTTGGGCTTACCCTTGCAGACGGACATCCGCACCAGCAACGTCAAATAAGCCTCATGAGGAGCAGTGAAGCGTGCAGTTTGAAGCTCTGGTTCGTAATGACTTGTTCATCTTTACTGCTCTCAGCCATATAAAAGGAAAATTCTACAAGTCTGAGTAAACATCGACATGGATGATAAGTTTCCGTGATATACGCCTCGGCTCGTAAGCGAAAGGCGCAACACAAACAGCATCACATCTGGTATCAGAAAAAGACTCGTCATTGACTTGATTGGGGTTTGATACCAACTTGTGGCGATATGCGCTCTGCATGGAACACCGAAATTTTCTGGTTCGATCTTTGCGACTGATAATCTCCACATTCAGTCCAAACTATCATTCACGATGACGACCTAGTGAACTCCAGCCTGTTATATACAACAGCCACCAGTGAATCGGACTCAGCATGCTAAGATACAGAAGCAAACTCGAATTGCCATAGGTGGTGAGGAGTTTGGCATGGTCAAGTCATCATACCAATCTCCTCCACAGCTGTCCTATAAAGATTCAGAAGAGTCTTACTAACGGATACTACAAACATCCTCACAGGAAGGCTATCAGATACTTCAACCTATTTCATCGGGGACTGTATGGATGCAGGTGGATCGATTGCTTCCCCAACATCTACCTCACCTCAATCTTTCTCTCATCCAAACTCATCGGCTCATAGGCTCGATAGCTCATTTGTCAATGACATACCACAGCAACCACATATTCACTACTTCGCTTTCGCATATATACTACGACAACGCGATGACTTCCGCCATAACGAAGGCACCCAAAAACGCCTCCATGCCTTAACGGTATGCGACTCGACTCGACTTTCGACAAAAAAAGGGCGAACACAAGCGCCAATCCAGAACCGAAAGAAATGAAAAAGGATGCATATCCCTATGCAATATCACCAAAAGAAAGCAACAACAAATTCGACACAATAAATTGTAATTTACAAAAAAAAAAAAAAAAAAAAATACATAAACAACATAAACAACATATAAAAATATAAAAAGGGTGGATATCTTCGGGGCTGGTACCCCACCGCGGCCAACCATGGATCCTCTAGTTGAAGAAACCCTATCAGCAACCAGGCAGTCAACCTCGGTAAAGATGTAGCCACTCATGTAGTCATGAGTGGTGAACTTTTTGCATTCTTTCATGTTTTGGATATGTGTTGGAAATGAAATTGTGGGCTGATAGCTATCTTGCATTGGCGCAAGGTAGGTTGAAGTTATTTGTTTGCTTTGCTCACTTCTTCAGATGTCGGTATTGTGGATTTTTAACCCGTTCGAAATTGACTGGTTCTGTGCATGCGACTATGTTATTCAATCACACGGTAGGTAAGAGTGATGGGCGGTGGGCTTTCATGATTTTGTATTTTTGTATTGTGTGAGCTAAATTTCTCGGGAATGGTGAGGGTTGTGCTGTTCAAATTCAATGTATACAAGCAAGATTGTTTTGAGGATTGCGACAGCGACAGCAACTGCGACGAGAAAATAGAAATCAAGTGTGAGAGTTACGTTAGCTCGCTGGCCTATCATCATTCCCCCATGTGTCCATAATTATACTCTTCTGGGTACCTGCGTAACAACACAATGCGCATTATTATACAACGGATCTCATGCATTCATCGTTCAAATGTAATGTACCTAGTTAAAATAAAGTTGCCCTTGAATTAAAATTAAAATTCTGTGATGGGTGGTTGTCTTGAATCGTTTTGATGAGTGAAGAGATGGTAGAAAATAGGAATCTGATATTTAGACTCTTTGGAGTATCTAGAAGTATGTATGTTCAAAGTATTTCAATGACTCGTTTGTTCCTCTATAAGTGATTGAAGGAAAATGCATATATCTTTTGTGTTAGGTATTGTTGTTTGAGTGAGAAAGTGAGTGAGTGAATGAGTAGACTTTTACCGTCGTTGATCGTGTATAGGCCATATGCGGAGATTGAGGGGGCAGAGAAGGGGTAGAAAAGGAAATTTGGAGCTGAGATGAATGGATAGTGAGTGATGTATATATATACATGGGTATTTAGCATACATATATTTGTTTTCCCTGGTTGGTTAACAGCGTTGACAAACAGACAGGATGGCAAACATGCCTGGTATGCGATGCGAATGGAAAATTGAAACCATAACCCCTCACGCATACAAGGAACCAGAGATTTGTTTGATGATTGACTCATCAGACAATTTTGAAAACCATGCAATTTCATTCATTCAATCATTCCTTCATAATACATCGATCCGTCTAGAGTAGACGGCCGTGTGAATCCCCATAAAAAGACCCGGTACCGATCTTAAGCTATGCACACATGATGCATCATCTACCCATCTCACAGGGTATCAATCTGAGCTTCGCATCTCCCTCCTCATGCCCACAAATCTACTTACTCTGCCTCTCCAACTCACTCTCCACCCCCCTCTGCTGCGTCTTCCCCACATCATGCTGTTCCCTCCTCACCTCCTCCTTCTCCCTATCCCCCATAACCCCCCGCCACCGCTCCCCCAACACTGCCCTGGACTCTATTCTTGACCCCACTCCCCAAATCGTTCAGTTGTCCCTGGGCTTCCTGGCCCTTCCCCGCAGCATTCTGTTCGCGTCCATCTTTCTTCATCTCCTCGCTTCCGAGGATCCCCCCCACGAATTCCTTGCCTGATCCGATGGTTTGGTTCCAGGAGCCTTCTTGACGCGCAGGATCGTTTTTGGTTACGGCCCCCGAGGAAGAGGCGCTGATGCCGCCGGCGGAAAATCCGGCGTGTGAGGCGTCGTGTTTGAGGGCTGCTTCGTCGTGTTTTTGGGCGGCGGCGTGCTAGGGGTGGGCAGTCAGTATGGGGGTCTGTTGTGTTTGCTGGTAGGGAGGTATGGAAGGGGGAAGGGAAGATAGATGAAAGAGAAAACATACCTTATCAGCAGGGTTACCAGTAATCGAACCAAGCGCCGATTGAGCCGCGCCAGAAGCAGAATCAATGTATGATTGAAGAGTTGAGGTGTTTTTGTCAGACATTTTTGCGTTGAAATTTGTATTTGATGGATTATTTACTCGTGGTTTTGTTTGGTGATTGATTTACTTGATTCGTAAGTTTATTGATGATAATAGTAATTCAAGAGAGGTTCTTTGAGCTTACCTATTTATCTAAGTTAACTTGTGATGCAGAGTTATGACGTCATGACCCCAGATACTGGGCAAGGAACTTTCCTCACCAAAACTTGGATTGTGCAACAAATCATAATAACAAATCGGGTGCTGGGTGGTTGTAGCGCATTGCGTTTTGAGACCCCGTGATTAAAAATAGAAACGTCAATTCGTACAACATGAGGGCTTCTAGATTCACACCCGTGCCTGGTGTCTCTGCCAAGTCTCGTAGAATCAGTTTCTGACATGATGTCTGCTGATTTGTGTAGATTAGCAGTTAGCTCTTTCTGTGGAAGGAATAATTGGTCCAGCTTAGGTCAGTACTTCATAGCCTATAGTGATAGGAACTGCTAGGCTCGCTAGGTAGGTAGGTAGGTGCCTTGCATCTTGATCGAAGCTAAGAACTGCTACTCCTCAATACCCCTCCCTATATTCAAGTGCGGCGTTTCAGATCATTTAATCAGCAGCCTTGGTCACTGTTTTGCAGAGTCTCAACCGCGTGCTAAGCAAGCCACTTAGTGCTTACATTCTCATCTGAGGCAGATCACTACAGGTTCAAAGAAAGAAAATCGCACCGTGGCTACTGTATATGTATGTATGTGGATTTGGTAAGCTATGGGCAATCCCAAGATCGAGGGCCTTCGTGTGTCTTTTGAAACCCCAGAGACCCCTGACATCTATATTGACCTATGGGTATCAAGAAACCCTCACCAACCACTCATAACTCCAGATCACAAGTCTTGAAATAGTGAAAAATACTCCATGCGCCAACCATAACTCCATATTTGGGTATCCAAAAGAGCAAACTCTCCGTCCACCATGAATCCAGTGCTATCCATACATTCGTATCCTGAACCTTCGTTGTGTATCGTAAACGTCGTAAAGTCGTATCATTGTATGTGTATGCAAGTCGCATACCTGTGCAATTAACGAACCGCTGATCGAATTGAGACGGAGTATTACTGGCAAATCGAAAAACATGATATGTTAGAATGTCTGAAATTTCTAATACTTTGAAGAAGAGGGTATATACTCACTGTCTTTGCACCCAGCACGCAAAACATCAACGCGAAGAAAACCAATACAAGTGCAAAAGACATCTGATTGACATTTCGCTGCTCGAGATTGACATTTCGCTGCTGGAGATCGACAATTCGCTGCTGGAGATCGACAATTTGCTGCTTGAGTTCGGCAATTTGCTGCTTGAGTTCGGCAATATACATGGCATTGGTAATGGCAGGCATCTCGTCGTCGTCGTCGTCAGTATTTAAGGTGCTGTTTCTGAGAGGCTCTTTTTCAGAGTTACTCAAGGCTAATGGCTGCATATTGTTAGGAGAAGCCATGATTGAACTGAATGCAAGATAGTTGTGAATTGACATGTACCTTGGTTTGTGATTGAGAAACTCGAGAGTTTTATGATGTACTGAGTGTTGGTCTGTGCTCATACTCTTGCTGTAAAGTCACCTGACAGACACAAATATACCTAGAAGTTCTGATCAGGAACAAAAGCTTTGACCACCAAGCCTTGCCTTATGAAGCAGGGAACAGGGATACATAATTGAAAGGCCAATCAGCTCGCATGCAAGAAATACACGCACACGGTAGATTAACATGTAGAGATTCATTATACTGCTGTGCAATACATTATACAGCAAGGAGTTCTTTCAATTCAATCGAGCGATTATCAATCAGATAAATTCATTTGGGTTTTTTCTTGATGAATCATTCACCAAATGCTGCCCTATTACTACCTATGTCTTCCACCAAATCAACGCTAGTTAAAGTCCGGTCTCGTACCGAGGCCCATTTGAATCATTTTGTCAATACCTAAAAAGTTCGGTTTTACATGGGCTAAAAGCGTATTTAGAATTTAGTAATGTATTTATAACAATAAGAATATTTAATTTAATATATAACCTTAAAAAAATATATTAAATAAAAAGAAAAGAGATATTAATATGAATTAGAATTCAAAGTATCAATTGATATAAATCTTTTCAAATTATCTTAAAAATTAAATTTTATATTTAATATAAAATTATTTGAATAAATTTGAATAATAATACAATTTCAATATTTAATCTTTTCTTATTCAAATACTTTTATATTGAATATAAATTTCAATTTTTGAGATAATTTGAAAAAATTTATATCAATCAATTCCTTGAATTATAATTCATATCAATATCTCTTTTCTCTTCTTTTTTTAATCTCTTTAAGGCTTTGTACTGAATAAAAGAATTCTATAATTTTTAGATGTTGATTAAGAGAAGCTTAATTAATTATATGTTTTAATATTTAAGATATAAATAAAAATAGTTTAATTATTATAGTTAAACTGATTATAATTTCATTAAATTGGATTAGAATTTTAGTTTTTATCATAAATTAAATGTAATTATTTTAATTGATTTATTAAATTTGAATTAATAATTTTCTTTTTTTCTTTTTTATTTCATTTATTCTTTCAAAATTATATATTAAATTAAATAATTTTTTTTAATATTATAAAAACTAATTTTTAATTCGAAATAAACAAAATAAAAAAATCCTTATCGAAATTCTCTCATTTATTAATAATCAATCTATATATAAAAAGAAAACTATTTAAAAAATATTATATATTAGAATTTGAATATTAATATACTTCTTGTAGAAAATTCTAAAATAAATTCTAAAATCATATTAATAATATTAATAATAAAAGCTTTCTAATAATATAATTTTTCTTATAAAATTATTATTTATTATATAGTTCTATATAATACAATTTTCTTTCTGAGATTTCTATATATATACCATACAAATTTTAGAAATTCTTTTTGAACCATATAAAACCTAACTTTTCAGGTATTAGCAAAATGATTCAAATGGGCCTCGATATCTCGTCTAAACCATCCCTAGAGATTTTAGTACTGTAGTTCCATTGAACCACACACCCAGCCCCGCACTACACTACAGCAGTAGAATTGAATATCATGCAATCCATACCTTTACAAATCACAACTTCGCAATTTTCCCCTAAGGATGCTGTGGAACTTAATACGTATTTTCAGGTTCCAAGCTTTACTTATGATTGTGGGTTCTGGAAAGCTTGGTAGCGGGGTGGTGAAAGCTTGGTTGGAGGGCTGGGTTTCTTAACTAATGATCATAAGATCTGCTGTTTCTTGAAAATGATTTCTCAGAAGGTTGGAGGATATGTTTCAGTAATTAATATCATCTTTTCAGGCTGTTATTGGAGTGTTTTCTAATAAGAAGATGTATTTGAGATGATATGATTAGTCAATTTTCGTTGTGGTATTCTCAGGGTGTGTTCAATTCGTTTTCTTATTTATTTGGAGAAATTTATAATATTGTTAAAATAACAAGAGTATTGAAACTAATATATTTGAGGTAATATTGAATAATGTTGAAAAATAATAGGAATAAATAATAATAAAGATTTGTTGAAGAATTATTTGTAAAATTTTAAAAAACTACTTTATAATTAATATATAGTAATCTTGAAAGCATTTTGTTACGGAAGCTGCCTCTAGGGTTATGTGGAAATGTCTAAAGATCTCTCGAAGTAGTTTAAATTAAACTTCAAATAGGAATTCAATAAGATTATAATTAATTACAATTCTCGTAACTATAATAATAAAACTAATAATTATTCTTAAGCACAAAGTTTTACATTATAATGAAACCCCTTTTCTTATATAAATCTTTATACTTTAATCGAATCAACAAGTCTACTCGATTACTCAAATCAATAAATCAAATCAACTTTCCTTCATATAACATTTATCCTTATAATCTAGTAAAACTATTATTTATTTAACCTATACTTACTAATTAACCTATAGCTACTATATATCCTGTACCTACTATAAAATAAATGTCAATAAAAGATAAATATCTATCTTTTAATCACTACTTATTTATTCGATTATTATTATCTTTAGTTACCCTTTAATTCAATTATCCCTATAATGCTATTTTCATAGGTTTCAATATTAAGGCCTTAGGTTTATCTTATAATCCATATTGCGGTGCGGGTACCTCCGTAACACATTTGTTATTTTAATTTATTTGAATTATTATAAATCTAATAATTCCTAATAATTTATTTCATAACTTCAAGTATTCGATAAATCTTTTATTTAAGCTTAATAAGTATTATTTGATAAATAAATAAGGTTTAATAATTGAAATAAACCGAAATAAATCGATCTAAACGCACCCTTATTATATCATTTTTTGAATAAGATTACCATCATAGCAATTTCTGAAAAGTAGATCTAGTTTATTCATTACCTAGTAGTCGTTAACATTTACATCATATAATCCTACCCAGCCAATATTCAAACGCTAATAACTTCCGTAACCATAACCCCTGATTCCCATCTTGTCACCAACGGATTTTTCATATCATCCATTCTTCTCATTCTTTCCGTATCCCCACTCTCCATAGCCCTATACCTCTCATTATCCCACTCCCATATCCCGCCTCCACTTTCTAAACTCAATCCCTCTAACCCTTTCGCTAATCGTTCTGCAACTTCATCCCTCCCCCTCTTGACAAAAAATCTTCTTTCCCAAACTATGCCGTTGGCCATTTCCTTCCTTCTCAATTCTCTCTGTTCATTCTCTATCTTCCCTTTTTCTTTCCCAATTTTTATGATATCATTTTCATTAATAGCTCGCGTAACATGTCGCCAGGCTCTTCTCGATTCATACTCCTTTTGCTGCTCAACCGGCTGGACTTTCAGCGATTTCCTCTTCAATGAATTCGCATCGAATTGCAATATGCATTTTCCACTTCTCATGTCTTTGACGTTGAATTCCCCACTCCATTGTCCTTCGGCTTTATATATTGGAGTACTCTCACGTCCATCTTTATATATGGTTGCGGAAAATGTGTTAGGTGTTCCACTAATCCAGCCTTTCGAAGAATAAGATATTCGAGTTGTGAAACCGGATGAGGAACGGATATAGGAAGTGCCGCTCAATTCAGGATTAAGAGAACCGGACATGATGCCAATTATATGTATAGGCGGCATAGTAATTAGGTGTGTTTCATTGTGTTGAGAGAGGGTCAGAAGGGAGTAGCCTTTTCGTTCGATGTGTACTGTTGAGCTAAAGTAGGATTGTGGAGCGATGGTGCCTTGAAGCTAGAGGGAGAGTATAAGTATGAGACACAATGAAATTCACAAGAAACAGGGATATTTACTTGTACACCATGTTTTTCGTTCGAGATATTATACGCTGTAGCTGGTGGATGATGACTGTCGATCGTTAGTATTGCTTTCCCATTTCTCTTCCCAAATTATCATATCTTACCTAACTTGCTCAGCAACCAAATCCGTTTTTCCCGTACCTTCCCCATCGTCCTCCCAAGAACCCATAAAACACTCTCCCAAAAATGGATTGAGGGGTTTCATCCCCTTTTTCTTTCCACTCTCGTCTCGAGCACTATGCTGCCACCTCAATGTACTCATGAACCATTTTAATACTAGCAATGCTCTTTCCTCAGCAGACTCGGATTTTGTGGGTGCGATGAACAGAGATGGGTGCTCTGCCCAATAGACAGGAAATTCGACGATTGATTGTGGAGAAAGAAGAAATGGAGGCGCTGTGAGCGTTGAAAGATCGCCTTTGAATGTTGCTATCGACTAAGGAATAAATTATTAGTATGCACTTATATGATTGTCTCGAGGGTATATGTGTGTAGTGATACCATTCCCGTTGAACGCTAGGAAGGCTCATGATAGGATATCGTCCACCAACGTACAGCTGAAATCTGTGCAGTATGTCCTGCCCTCTGGCCAGACATTGAAGACATGAATAATATGAGCAAGAAGATAAATAACATACCTTGATGAACCCAAACCACGCACTTTTATGCTGTGGCGCAGCCTTCTCTTCTGTGCAATTCTCCATATCTTCAAGGCCGACTGTGCTTTGAAATGTGTAATTCAGAATCTCTTCCTGGCTGGATTCTCTCAATAAATTCTGCAATGAAACTTCAATTGAATCCGTATATCAAACCAAAATCTACGAACAATATAGATATAGAAAAGCGACCCTTATTAATGTATGTCGTCCGAAGATAAAAGATAAAAAGTGCTCGGACGTCAAAAGTCCATATCCTATTATGAAAACAGCATGGCATAGCCTACCTCTTTCTCACCTATGATCTGGGGTTATTGACTCAGAAAGTAGATTGCATAGCAGCATGGGATGGTTTTGTATCAAATTCGTCTGGAATGTATGCTTTCGAGACGGATTCTGCTTCATCCGAGACTGAAAGTCTGAAACTCTAACGTTTTTGCAGGCTGACCTATCCAGCATTACCTGGTATTCTTGAGGTGTTATTGCCTCTGTAGGAATTCGGATCAGATGTTTGACATTGGTGATTCCTCGTATCTTTATTAATACGAGTGACATTCGTCGTTGTAATAATAAAACTCTCTTTTTGTTGATCACGGTGGCGGGGTAATCAAAAGGAAACAAAATCTTGGTTGAGATAAAGATCAAGTTAACAATGTGCGGAGAGACGGAGCCTTTTCCTTTTGTTTGCGGGTTTGACTTACGACTTGACAATGCAGGATCCCAACACTCCGACTCACCGAGTATCACACAAGCATCTGCAAAATCATAGATCATATTCGTGAAGTCATGTATGTAGAAATACATAAAAATTCATTGAATTGAATAATGCTGCGACAAAACAGCGTATGGGTATCAAACAAAATCCGGAAAGCCAAAGATCCTTCCTCCCTCCCTCCCCTCTTAAAACGCCATTTTCAACCATCTCCATCCTATAGATATTCGATAGCCTTTCTGAGCAATCGTACAATACCCCCGTTGAACCTTCCACTCGACCGGGTATTAATTCCTCTAGTCCTGTCATCCATTTCATCCTTCAATCTCAATGATCTCTTCAAAGACTCATGTCTTCGCTTCTTCTCCTCTCACAACTTCTCGTTCTGCGCTCCTTCAATTCTCTTTCCGTGTCCATCAATCGTGTTTGAACCCATTTCCTATATCTGACATCGCCCTTTACACTCTCACAGTTGAGTAGATCAGTCAAGGCAGTCTTGATTTGTTGATTCACATTCTTCAATTTTTGCTCATCTTCCTCAATCACTTCAATGACCGTTTCATCTACAATCGCTGGTAGTGAATTGATCCTTTCCTCGCGGTGAAGATGTTGTGTGTGGCCGAAAGAGGGCGGGAGACTGCCTCTGCGACTGAGAGGTGAAATGGATGCATCGCTAGCGAAACTGGAGTCTGAAGAGACGGAAGAGTTGCGTTGACGATCGGTATATCCGGTAGGACTTTCGGGGATGGAAGCAGTGACTTTGTTGATGTGCTTTTGGAGGGCATCATGCTGAGAGTGAAGGAGCAGATATTTCTGCAGAGCAAATGCTCTTTCGGGCGACTTTTGCATTGTGATCAATGGTGCCATTCTGTATTTGCAGTTGTGTTGCAGTGTGTTGTTGAGGTTTGACGTACGTTGATGATATATGTCTGTGTTGTGTGTTTGTAGACTTGATAATGGAGGGGAACAATTTTGAGTTCGACTTATCAAGGGGTCAAGACAGGGTACAAGTGGCTATGCTGTACAGTTCAAACTTTAATGTGAATGCAGAAGAGAAGAATGATTTATATCGAGGAAACCTCAAGTGAATGGCAGCAACATATATTCAAAACATAATGATGTGACGTAGCCATATTTTGATACAAGTTACAACTTCCAATGAGAATCCCAACACGCCGGAGCAAAGGTCCGGAGTTTTGCTCCGAAAGTCTTTCTTCATCTGATTCTTTGATACTTGTAGTGTACAAGACATCTTCTATCCACTCTCCCGTAATTTAAGTGTAACAAATTGAAAGAGAGGACAGCAAATGATTTCTTACATGGCATTTGAGAGGTTTTTCTGGTTTACCATTATTATTTCACTTTACACAATCCTCAAACTTTCTTGGCCAATGATAACCAAGGAAGATGATGACAACTCGGGCCACCACGCACCGCCACATACGGACCGCTACCTGTGGCGTCATTTCCTGTGAGGTCAAAACGATAACAACCTTCCTTGTTTTCCTTTTATTTCGCCTTGGTAGTGGACCTTGATGTGTATGCATGACGATCACTTGGCCGGGTTTTTTGTTTTCTTTATTCGAATAACGTTGTTTCTCCCTGGCATATGATCAACGTCTATTCCCAAAACATGGTCCTGGTAATTTTAGAATATGTCTGATACATTGTATAATATGTACTTTAGGGGAAGGATTTGCGGCGACGCGTAGTAAACATGTAAAGCATCGATCGATCGCAATATGGGTTCATCGAGCCTTCCAGCCCTTATTTTCGGAGCGTGTCGCTTTTGATATCATTCAGGAGTAAACCTCCACTGTGCTCCTCAAAAGAAAATCCTTCTACAAATCCTAGTGATGCACACATCGGAGAAGAGGTCAGGACTCACGAGTCACAAGAGCTCAGTATCGTTATGATGTGTGCCTAGGCCCTAGATGAACGGTCTGTAGATAACGACAAAATGTAGGGGGCCTCTTGAGTTCGAGACCTCAAATGTGAATGTGTGAGCACTTGTCCATGGTTCTTCTGCAGGTAGAAGCGTCGAAGCGTGTATGGAAGGAAGGAAGGAAGGAGACAGCGATGAGGCACATTAGCTGAAAGTTTAAACTGTAATATACTTCCTTCCTAGCGGTAAACTTCTCACACAGAGCCTATTCGCGTTGCGAGAAAGTATATTACTCTGCCGCTGAGAGAATCAGATTAGTCCTCTTGTGGTTCATCACCTTATGGTATGCCCATCTAGCTTCGGAGTGGTTTACTTTCTGGTAGCATGAGTATGTCGTAGGGCTTTGTACCAGTCTCGACAACACCAAATCTATGATTCTGAGCCACTCCTGCTTGCGTGTTTTCTGAGGCCAAATGTTATCGCATGTTTATGCTAGAACAATTTGCGAGCTCCTCAGGGTCTAGAGATACCACTACTTATAAAGCCTCTTCTAGAACTATATCACTAATAATTCTTCCAACCAATCTCAATGTAAGAGGTTCTCTTCTAACTCTGACCACTAGATTGTCTTCCAACCATAACCAGATAGCCTTGAAAACTTCCTACACTTATTTTGCCGGCTCATTCCCGGCTCAATCCAAGATCAAAATCACGTGCCCTTCTGCACCTGTACCCTGTCACCTGTGAAGTCTCGCTCAGGAGATTCTTTTCAACTCAAGTTTGCCATTCCTTTTCCAACGGAACCACGACATTTCGCCAAATTGCTTCCTAAAATCAGGCTTCTCCAGACTTTTATTTTTCGGCATAGGTTGGAAAAAAACAGAAGACACAACAACTGACGGCTTGAAAATATCCTGCAGGCATATTTTCCAAATGTCCATTCTCTTTCACGCATCTCTCAGCCACAATAAGATCGGTGCTTGAATTTGGAACACTGCTAACCAGATCACTGGAGATTCGATGAGATTCGATAGGTTCCGCAAACCAGAGTTCTAGGAGCATTATTCCGAGGCATAAGACACTAATGTTTGGGTGAGTAGGAGTGGGAAGCGAATTTCGCGGAGTAGGACTGGCAATACCGCTGGAAAAGAACTTATGGGCAAGTAGCGGACGTTCTATATCCACAGGACGAATGCTTGGATTGCTTCTGTCAGACAAGAACAGAATCTCGCTTTTATTCCATCGCTCATTGAACCAAGGAGTGGCATGGAGCTGGAGCAGTGGTGAGGCCAAGTTCACAGCTAATGTGATTTTCTCAAGTTTGAAGAGTGTCGTGCTACTTTTAGGAACGACGGATGAAGTAGGCCCAGAGATTCTTCTGAGTAGCTCGCCGAAGTTGAGAATTCTGGATGGGAAAGACTTGTGCCACTTTGGAACTTCAGACGTGCCTTTAAGTTTTTGGGCTTCATCTACAACAAATCCGAAACATTCATGAATGCTTTGTGGGCTGTTTGAAACCTCACAAATAGTGTTGATGGCTTTCAGATTCTGATAATCGATCTCCTCACTTGAACCCAAGTTGAAGCTTGATGCTGGACCTCTAGGTGTACTTGTCATCATAGCAGAAGGAATTCCACCGGCGGGAGGCTCTGATATATTAGGTAAGATGGGTCCAGTCATTGGGGTCTAGGTGACTCCAAAGAACCGCGGAGGATCGTGTATTTTGTAAATATGGTTCACTTTTCCATTAGCGCTTGTTCTTGGTGCAGGAACACATACTAACCTCTTTGGAACCACTACAACTTGCATTTGTTTCTATGCCGAAGATTCGCCAGCAGCACTTGTTGCATCGTTTGAAACACACAATAGCTCGAATCGAACTCTGTCCTTTGCCTTTGTGATTATTCACGTCTGCCTATTTTCGATTCGAAGAAGTGTATCATGGGCGGCGCAACATTGGCATTGCCAACACTTGAGCAATGCACTGTGGAGACAGCCTGCAAATTCCTTCACTTCAAGTAACGGTTATTTGTTATCTTTCTTCCATGAATCAAGGAACGGTGTGGCTGCGTCGACTTGGGTCCAGATGCTCTGCAGGTTTTCATTACACTTATCGATCTATCTCAATGAGCGAATTCGTTTCTTCTCGTTTCTACTGAACGTTATCCGCCTCTGCAAACTGCTTCGCTTCCAGTCTGCATTGGAAGCCTCATTATAAAGTGCTCGAAGTTGTTCCTGGTTTTACTGCACATGCCATTAAATTGATGGATTGATAAGTGACATGATCGTAGTCAACTTAAAGCAGAGCAGAGCTTGACAAAGATGCTTCCAATGTATCATGGCCGTCTCGATATTCCTCTACCAATCAAACCCTTGTTTCTAGCAACACGTCATGGGCTTCATCCAAAAATTCGACGTCATCTAAGGACTTGGAATTCTCCAATGATTTGACTCCATGTACTAGCTCTATAGAATCCAGTCCTCAATCTATGGCGATAATAACACCGTCAGCTCCTCCAAACGATATAATTCTGAATTCAGTTACAAAGAACCTTCAACTGACAAGGAGATAGGCGCGTTTGACGAACAGGCAATATCTGTAGACCCGTTTAAAAAAATCAGAACCCCGAACAGTGACGATATACATTAGATGAAAGTTAATACACTCTACTCTTTCAAGACAATATTATCTGATAACACCTTTTAGAGTACAAGGTTTATGAAGGTCTTGCTTCAGATGACTTTTGGAAAGTTGGTCGTGTCTTTATGATGCCATGGACAGATCCAGCACGTCCTCAAGTTGGAGGAGTAGGGAATGACTCCCACTTTAGCTCCATTTTTCTTGAAGGACAAGCTTACAGTGAGATCCGATGATTCGTTGTGCTAGTAAAGGGTCATGGACATTCTGCTTGCTGGTATGTGTCATGTTTCAATAAGTATACTCGCTCATAGAAGACTCTAGTCCTATACATACGTACTTAGGCGAGGCAACTTTGCAACCCGACCTACCTGCACCTCATAGACACGTAATAATACACACTTCATCATCAGACTGTCCTAATGAGCTTTGCTACAAAGCCCGTACCGGAGGATTGATATACGAGAACCTCATTCTGGATTCTATTCGTGCTGATAGCGAACGAGACGACATCGATGGCCAGTTGCATCCATTGAGCAGATTGAACTACAGCAAGATATACACTGTAGAGCATGATGTTCGCGTGCTTAATATAGGGATGGTAAATTACCAATCAATAGAGACATTCTTACAACAATCAGGGTTTCCCAGCGAACCGTGGACAGATAGCAGCGCACAACGACCACAGTAAATCCTCCCTCCCAGAAGAACTTTAGGACATCCACCCCGCCATCTCGAAAGGAAAAGGAGTCCTCAAGAGCTTCGTAAAGGCAGGAAATAGAGCCTTGCAGCAAAACTGGCCTTTGCTGATCCATCGGGTGGTCACGCACACGAAAGCTCTCTCTTGCGCCACGAATTTCTTTCTTGTTCATTTTTTCTACACACATGTTTCCAATTTATTTACCTATAGAAGAGCTCAAGTTACGTGGCTTTCATCAAGCGACCAGGGATATTCTATCATTTTCTCAAAGGGAAACATACTGTGCTATTTCCGAAGCAACTTTTCTTGCGACGTTATGAATCATGTAGCATATATTTCTGGACAGACAGAGTTCCATCTCGGCAGGAATAGGCTCAATGAGAATCAATGATCATCCACGGGCAACTATCTTGTGATAAGGTTTAGACCTGTTTTGCCAGTAAAACTCAAGAATGGCCCGCGGACTTTGTTTCTATGTATATAAACGAGAGTTCTCCTTTGAGCATCTAAATTCGACAAGTTGTAGTCTTGAATGTGATGCGATTCAACATTGATCAACTATATTCCTTGACACTTCGCGAAGGCGCGGAATCTGTCTGCAACAAATCTCGCTATCGAGCGGATTCAAATTTTTATGTAAAAATTCATGAGAAAAGCGAATTCCACGAGAACCGAGGAAAAGTAGCAATCGTGTACTAGGGAGAAGTAAGTATCTGAAGAGAATGTCCTTTGTACTTGATATGGATCTGCAAGAATGATTTCGCAGAGAAGATATCGCTTTGCGATTCTATTCGTAAAAATGATATTTGATTACCACTCCTTTTGCAATTAGCCAAATACTAACTATCCAGCCAATTCCAGCTCTATAAAGGTAAAAATAGCTAATATGCCCTGCCAGCCCGATTTAACAATGCACTATTAAGTAAATACCACATCTTTCAAACACGCAAATATGTTTTAGTCATCCTCTATCTCTTCTGGAACGTTGCACCACTATCACTGCTCATTTGTTTGTTGTTATCTCTTCCGCCAATACGTATAGTTTTATCAGGAGATGAGGAGTTTATATCCGATTTCGATCCAATAAATGGCTGAGGTTTTGTGAACAAAATTTTGCGATGGGGCTCGAGGAAAGACCTTTGAGTCGTTGTTTTTGTTGTTGTTGATGTATTGATCTGGTAGCCTGAGACAGCCATCATGGAAAGTGAGTCCGTCTTTGGAGATGAGGAATTACTGGTATTTGAGACCCTGGGGTTTGTAAAATTTACTCCCGACTCCGGAGCACGGTTGTTTGAACCCGAATCTCTACTGGTTTGATGGTATTTTCTTTCAGATGGATATGGAGTACTCTTATTTCGGGTAGCCGCTCCCACAGGGTCGTAGTTGCTACTGGAATAATAAGCAAACGTTGAATAATTGGACGACTGGCCAAATTCGTTCCTAGACACGCTGTCGTTTCGTTGCTGTGGATCTTGCCAAGTGATACAATTGCTTGCTTGCGCAACATATCTAGGCCGCAATGGACGTTCAGAATCAACTGAATTGTGCACAAAGGTGGAAAAAGATGGCGAAGGTTCCATTTTCTCCAGCTCATATCCTGTGGATGTAGTCTTTTCCGGTACAGTATCCTCCTCTTCACTAGCATCATCAAAAACAAACTTCATCCATAGTTCGTTTGGGTCTGCTTTCTTTTGCATATTTTCGGTCGGACAATCCTTTACCTTGCTGGAAGTTTGATCTGGCAGTGTGACTTGATCGTGCTGTGGTGCGGTTTCCTCAAGCTCCGTGGTCTGTCTGGTAGGAATAGGCAGTTGCTGAACAGTGGGAGCTATGGACCAAGGATTATCGAGAATATTGCTCTGAGAGGGTCTGTTTATGTAAGGACTTGAGCTTCTAGGGGGGTCCCATGGAACACTTGAAGATGTTCTCTGCGACGATTGAGTGTCTTGTGGTTCTATCATGATATGGTCCTCACTTGTATATTGTATGGATGTCGATGATGCCTCTCTCTCATTTCCAAGCTCATATCTATCAGACGAGAAAGGGTGATCATAGACATCTGAGCTGTGACCGTTGTACGAAATATTTCCCACTTCGTCCGAAGGAAATAAATCTCCGTTATATACTGCTGTAGACTGCTCCTGTATTATCGAGCTTTCACAGCCGGGCCAAGACTCTGTATGCTCATATTTTTCAGCAGAATCCTCGTCATTGGATCTTGAGCTGCTAAAGATCTTCTCACGTAAGGCTGGAATGGCACTTATTCCCGGGCTTATCGATACACTCCTATCTTTCAAATATTCCCCCTCGTCCTCTTCTTCATCATAATTCCTGTGCTCGGTGCCCTCTGTGGTTGGTGGTATCCATGCCTTCCACATCTCGTTGTCCATCAATTGATCTTGGGAAACCACACTTCTCAAGCCCCCGACCTGTCCAAGCACACTACTATTACATTTAGGCGAGTTTAAGCGGAGAACTGGATGCTGTGCCGGACGAATGGGCACTGGTTGTTTCATCCTGATATCGCAGATTGATCTGACGGCTGTGCAAGAAAATGGTGATGCTTCACCCACAAAATCATTTGTAAATCCATTTTTGTTGACTATATTAGGGAGCGGTTGACGTCTTGTATTTGCACCCTTCTCTTGGTTTCTATGCGTACTGTGGTTATAAGGGCCTGTGCTCGATGGAATTATCCTTGCCGAATCGTCGTCCTCTCCATTGCCATGTATTTCTGTCTCAAAAATAGAAAGAAACCTATCACTATTCAATTCTTCCTGATCCTCCACAATATACTCATCGTCAAGCAACATATCATCCGATGACGAGATTCGGTGTTTCGTGCGCGGCGTAGATTGGCGGATCACTTTTGTCGGCCGGGAACTCGAACTTATGCCTGGCGGAACACTTCTGCCACCAATCGAAATCCTAACGTCATTTTTTGGTAGTCTTTCTTCCATGTAACCCGCTTGTTGTTGCTCCCACATTTGAGTGTTTCTTGCGGCAAATGGCGAGCTGATTCTTGTCTGATATTTAGAATATCGTGCTCTATGTCCACCCTTTACCTTTCTTCTTCGCCCAATATCTTCATCGTGTCTTGGTTGGTTGAACTTCAATCTAGGCAAATGATGAGTATTTAGGCCAACCCAGTCTTTCTTGTTCAATAATCTTCGTCTCCTTTCTTCCATGGATTGTTCTATTGATTCTTGCGCCTCGTAGTTTTGCGAAGCACCTGTAAGCTCTGACGATGCAGCATGCTCGCGCTTTATTCTCAATGGTGGAGGTGTAGCGTTGTATAAATCGTCGTCGGCAGTGGAACTTCTTTGGACGAATTCAACTGACGAAGAACGATTGTTTTTCTGCTTATCTTGAAGCTCCCTAAACAGCGGAGTGGATGTGGGATCATTGTATTTGTAGAGATCAGTAAAAGGTTCTCGTTGAACTTCATTTCCCCCTCTTTCTTGTCTTGCACAATAATCAGAATTGCCCACAGAAGCAATATGATCCCCAAACGATTGTCTGTGGGGTTGTCCCACGACGATATTGTCGAAGATTGTCCATTTAGTAGTAACGTACTTTTGACTTCCGGTTCTCAAGCTGGCCTTCACATTTGCGAAGTGTTCCTTTTGTCGTTTGGTCAAGGCACCACCGCCGCCGCCCCGAGAAGATTTTCCAGAATGCCTTTGCAGGCGCCCTCCTGTCCAATTCATTAATGATATTTGTTTAATTTATTCAATAGAATGATAAATAGTTGTTGAAATCATATTTGGATGAAATTGTAATGATGTGTTGATGTTTGTCAGAAGTGAAGCATGATGAGACAGGTTGGTAGCGGGGTAGATTTCGCAACTCATTTTCAATCGATGTTAATTCAACTTACACACCCTTAATACCTAAGTAATACTTAACAACTTACAAGCAAACTTCTTGGAAATGTTTCTCAGACATTCCTTCATATCTCCTCTACATTTACCAACATTGGAGAGTCATCAATCTTTATTCTCGTCAAGTTCCTCTGCCACATCAACTCACCACCCGTATCGAACTTCTCATAGTTGTCAACTATTCGTTATCTACGACAAGACTCACCTCTTTATGGGTCTGCTAATTCACGCAGTCAGTAAGGTTCTCTTGAAAGGTTCACTCTTTCAGCACGCCTGCTATTCCAACCTCACAATCCAAATTACTCATGTGTTTTTCCAGACTTTTGAGAATGACTCTTGCCTCTGCCCCCATCGTACCCGATCGCAATGCGACATTTCATCCATTCCCATGGCTACCCTTAGAAATTCGACGGATGAATTGGAGAGCTGCACTTTCTGGACCAAGAAATGTGACGCTGAAACGTTTTTGTTTGAAGGACCCCGAATATCCTGTTATTCTGTAAGTCTTGCTTTGTCCATTATCTCCAATTCTTGGACCTTGCTGTGATTATATCACTTACCAGTTTAAAGACCAAACCCTGGCAACTACCGCATTTCCTTTGGCAGTCATGCAGGGGCAATCACAGGATTTACACCTGTCAACTCAAATCCAGCAATCTTCTACACTTGCATAGAATCATTGAAGGTTGCTTCCGAGACTTACACGCTTACTTTTGGCTCGTTGGAAGTTAGTCCACGAACGTGGTTCAATTACGACATGGATTCCGTTCATCTTGACGTGCCGTTCCTGAACACGACATGCACACTCTACGAAAGCCATGCTATCAGCAGGATTATCTCCTCGCCCAATTTCCTTCTTTCATTGGCCGGAGTCGATGGTCGAGAAGATGTCGAGGAGGTGGTTCCCGTGGCACCAGATGCAGACGGTATTTATGGTCCATTATTCTACCTGACCATCAACGGAATGGGAACATCCTCGGAATTCGAACTTATCGAATACCTGCAATCACATCTCTTACAGATAAAATGATTTCACCATGGTCGGGTTCAGTCACAAACTATTTTGTGGCCAATCCACGGCATCCGAAAGGAGGACGGCTTTCATATTCCAGAATCATCGCATCAAAAGTTTTTTATAACTCATATCTATCTCGATTAGCTGGCTTCAATGACTTGATACGGAACCACTGGGCCAAAGGCAATGGAAGGATGCCACATGCTTCAAGCATCTAGTATCTGGGCTCCCGAGGCATACTCAGACTCCCAGTTTAAAAAGATCATTTGGTTGTCCAGGAAAGAATAGCTAAAATGATTGAGAATACAAACCGAATTAGCCCCGAAGTATGTTGTCATATATTTCCTATTTTACTCTCCATTGACCAGTATCTCTTCTTCTGTGGCTCGCTATATATAACATCACATGTAAACTCTGGAATCATTGGATTGGCATAGAGTTTTCTGTCCTCTGTCTTCTGTCTTGTCTTGCTTGCGTTGCTTGCGTGAAAGACAAGATCTAGCCCTGTATACCTGACATCTCGCTACTTTAGAACGAGACTATGGGGATGACTACATTCGCATATTTAGAATTGCACTATTATAGGTTAGCTTCCTCTCATATTGGACAATGGGTAATCTCATCCAACAATCAATTGAGCAAGCTCTTTTAACCAGGTGATGATACCGGATGATGTTGATATACTGACACTGAAAGTAAAAACTCGACGAGGTCATCAAGAGTTTAACTATTCTTGCTCGTTGAAAAAAACTGATAACTCACAAAGCCACAACTTCTTTCCAGAATTATTACCTAAATACCATAAAAATCCACATCCAATTCTGCTTTAAGCCTTCTACGCAAGGCTGAAGAAGACCCCAATCTCGGCGCCCAAAACCCCTGCATAAACCCTGCATATGCCAGGCACGAGCCACATGTCTCAAAATCGGACCCGCACACAACCATTCAGGAAGCACGCGGCTGAGAGCAACTTCCAAGACCTCTCATTATCAATCTCACTGTCAACGACTAGCAATCATTCAACTCCCAACCTACGATATGTGAACTTGAAGTTCACATAGCTCACACTGGCATCTTCAATAGATATCCCACTCGAAACAATGCCATCTTCTACCGCCGAAGAACCTCTCTTGTCAAATCAGCACGGCGAGGAAGAAGAGGAGAATGAGGTAGATGATGATGCTTCACTACTTCTCGAGAAGAATTTGAGTAAACCTGGGCTATTTGTTTGGTTACTTGCTTTCTCGGCAGGTATTACTGGGTTATTGTTTGGATGTATGATTTTCCTCTCTATTCTCCCAACTGCCTACAATTCACTCCAAGATCACATCTAGAAAAATATCATAGCTAACGATATATGAACCAGACGACACTGGCGTAATATCCTCCACCCTAATAAGTCTCCATACTTCTCTCGGCCGCCCTTTAACTACCATCGACAAATCCCTAATAACATCATGCACCTCTCTCTTCGCTCTCATCATCTCTCCCCTTTCCGGCGTCCTCGCTTCCTCTCTTGGTCGCAAACGTGTTGTCCTTCTAGCAGACTTGGCATTCGTTCTCGGCGCACTCATCCAGGCGTTTACAACTACAGTATGGGGTATGATACTTGGACGAAGTATTGTAGGACTCGCGGTTGGAGCAGGCAGTTTCGTTGCTCCATTATATATAAGTGAATTGGCACCTACTATGTGGAGAGGCAGATTAGTGGTGCTGAATGTATTATTCATTACTTTGGGACAAGTTGTGGCTTATATTGTTGGCTGGGCGTTTGTAGAATGGGGAAGTCTAGAGACGGGGTGGAGGTGGATGGTTGGTTTGGGTGCAGTGCCTGCAGCGGTGCAGATTTTGGTGATGCTGTTTATGCCGGAGACGCCAAGGTGGTTGGTACAAGTCGGGAGGGTAGATGAGGGGAGAATTGTTTTGAGTAGAGTTTTTGGGAAAGAGATTGAGATGCAAAAGGTGGTAGATGAGGTTTTGAAGGGAATCGAAAGGGAAGTGAGAGAGGAAGATGAGGCGAAAAGGTTAAGAGAGATGGCAAGGAAAACTAAGGGATCAGAGGATTCCTGGGTAAGTGACGCGAAAGATAGCTGGGAAGAATTAATAGGGGTTGGAGGAAACAGGAGAGCTTTGACAATTGCCTGTCTTCTCCAAGGTCTCCAACAGTTATGTGGTTTCGTAAGTACATTCTTTCTGCTCATCAAAAACTCAACTAACCCAAACCTCCTAGAATTCACTCATGTACTTCAGCGCCACAATCTTCACCCTCGTTGGGTTCTCGTCTCCAACTCTTACATCTCTCTCCGTCGCACTCACAAACTTCATCCTAACCTGCGCCGCTCTCATGCTCATCGACCGCATCGGCCGTCGTCGTATCCTTCTCATTTCAATTCCCGTAATGGTTATAGGACTGCTCCTCTGCTCCATAGGCTTCCACTTCATGGATCTTCCTTCCACCTTCTCCTCCACTGCCTCTGAATCCTTTTCCACATCTACATCCCGCCTCCCACCCCTCATCATCCTAATAGCAATAATGCTCTATACCGCAGCCTTTGCCCTCGGTCTCGGAAACGTCCCATGGATGCAATCCGAACTCTTCCCCCTCTCAGTCCGTTCCCTCGGCTCATCTCTCTCTACATGTACAAATTGGTCGGCAAATTTTATCATAGGACTTACGTTTCTACCAATGATGGAACAGCTGACTCCGACGTGGACGTTTGCTGTGTATGCGGTAGTATGCGCAGTTGGCTGGTGGGCGATTTGGTGGGTGTATCCTGAGACAAAGGGTCTGGGATTAGAGGAGGTGGGTTTGTTGTTGAAGGATGGGTGGGGTGTTAGAGAACGGAAGGGGCAAGAGGCAATGAATTGTGATGAAGAGAGGGAAGAGAGAGGGTAGACGGGTCTAGACGAGATTACATAGGTTTTGGCTTTTGTAGCTTTTGAAGAGTTGATGTAGATATTTCTTGCATGCATAGAGTACACAAGACCCTTATCAACAGAAATACCCAAGTATTCGAACTAATAAATTGCACATAATCATGGTTGCACGAATCAGATGATATAGATTGGTATTGAAGACTTCTTGTGATTGTAGCATCTACTTGTTACTAACTAAGCAAATGCTGACTCACCAGTTTCAATTTCCATTGTTATTTGTTGGATTTTCCTTAAGACCTTACCCTCCCCTTAATTAAGCTACCTAGCTATCCGTTCCCCTCATCAAAAGCAAATTAGCCTTGAGAAACCTGTCTGCTGTTCACTCAGGCAAATGCCAGCTGCAAAAAATCCATCCATGCAGAATTTACTGAAATCTGGGTATATTTTCCCTTCCTCGCACGCAATAAAGCAAGCAGGTAAGCAATTAAAGTTCTCATGCAACGCCTATACTAGCAAAGATGTGCGCGCTTCAAGCCCATCGGCTTATCTACATGATCAAAAAACTCATCTGGGGATGGGAGGTCTGCCTCTTCCCCTTACCGCAACCGGGGACTTCGAGGTTGGAGGCGCCGGTGACGTACTGACATGTTTCACAGGTTTAACAGCAGGAATGTCATCATCTGAACTCGACCAACCTTCTCCATCCGATTCTTCGCTAAAACTCTTCTTTCTTGCTGATTTAGACGGACCTGAGTTTCTCGTTCCCGAGTCATCATCATGTTCGGATTCTGACTCTGACTCTGATTCTGATTCTATGAGTCGGACGACCGTGGGACCTTTCTTCGCTGGCTCCTTATCGTCATCGTTATCAAGACGTACGACTGTTGGTACATTCTTGGAAGGCTGTGCTGAAATACTTCTATCGCTTGATGACGAAGCGTGGCCATTTGGAGCAGGTGGGATGAGGTCTTTCAATGAGCTGTTCTGGTTGTCTGTTGCTGAGTTAATCACCGTACCCGGCATCTCATTATGGCTTATAGATTGTTGGCGTGAAGGTACAGTTGAAGATGTTCCAGAGACCGTTTTTGGTAGAGGAATCGAACTGCTAGGACATGTACCATCAATGGGAGTGAATAACGGTGACTGTTGCGCTGAATCGACCGCCTTGGAAGACGTTTCCTTGGCGCTTGGTGTAGCTGATTGCCTTTGTTGCTGCTCATCAATCCCCTTTTGCTTCGATTGCTGCGAGACAATCTTCAATTTCTTTCCTTTGAGGGCAAGCTTCTCACGAAGTGAAAGGAACTGACTAGGTTTACCGACTACCGAATTAGGGCCGCCGGGTGGTGGAGGCGATTTAGACGAAGATGGTGATCGCAATTCGGGCATTGCTTGGACCGAGCGTGCGTTTTGCGTCTTCTTCGGCGGTCGGCCTCTTCGTTTCTTGATAACTACTGGCTCCTCAATAGATGTACGAATAGGCTGCTCCGATAATCTTGTTTTGTTAGTTTCTGGTGATGGAGCATCATTGTCAGAATTTCCGACTATTTTATCAGTTGTTTGGTCTTCATCTTCAGACATGTCAGGGCTAACTGGACTGGCAACATGTTCTGCATCGTTTCCAAAAAGACTACCATCACTAATTTCCCGGCCATAGTCGTTGCTAGATCGTTTAGACTCATCATCTGAGATATTAATGTGCAAGTTTGGCCCTGTCGACACTTTATTTTGGCGAGTGCTTCGCGTCTTCCTAGGCTTGTCTTCAAATGGATCATCACTGTCTGCTTCGGCTTCGCTTTCGTCATCAGACGCATTAGCAAGAGTTTGTCGAGTAGCTCTCGATTTTCTTTCTAATGGCGCACTATTGCGCAAGGTTCTGGTCCTCGTGACTGACACTTGAGAGCTATTATCCTCCTGATTATCCACGCCATCATGTCTTGAAAGCCATTTAGATTTTCGAGTATGTTTGATAGATGCAGGTGACTTTGATGGCTTAGAAGAGGAACCCACACTAGGAGAAGCCGCCATTTTGGATGCGCGGCTTGGACGGCCACGCTTTCTCTTGCCACTGGTTCCGGGTGTGGAGCCGGCTCCCTGGGTTGTCTGTCCTCTCGCAAAATAATTCAAAGCTTTTGCAGCGAGATCGACATCACCTGTTACCTTACCAGCGCTGTTAACTAGACTATGTCCTGAAGAAGGCTGCGGTTCGTTATCTTCTTCCGAATTTAATAAGTTCTCTACATCCGCCAATGATGGCTCAGTATAATCTTGTCGTTTGTTAACACGCGAAGGACGATGTTCAGGTTTAGAGATACTATCTGGATCTTTTTCTTTATCGACCGGTTCCTTGGGTTTGACCTTTCTTTGACGCTTGGAAGCGATAAACTCCACATCCTCCTCGTCATCCTCAGGGATGCCTTCAGAATTAAGGCGTTTTCTCTTTTTCGTAACACTACGGAATTGATCAAGTGAAGCTAATAGTTCTGCAGGATCAACAGTTGGCACATCAGCTGGCTCTGAGTCAGATTTCGGAGAATCATAGAGAATGCCATCCAGTCCAATTTCTGTTGGGTAGTAATCACCACCCATCATGTTGGCAGGTTTAGGTGTTTGGGGATTGGGTAGCGGAACCTCCCTAGAAATCATAGATGCCACTGGTGCCACCGATGGTGCCAAGAGTCTTGATGGGTATTGTGCGGCTCTGCTAGGACCGTGCATATCAGCATGATAGTTATCATCTAGGTCATGGTGTGCATCAAGAACTCCTAATTGCTGATGAAGCTGCTCGTCAATAGTATATTCACGGGGCCCCTGAGTCTGATCCCAAGATGGATGGAATCCGTTGATTAGATGTTGGGCTGATTGATTTGATTCATCACGAAGTGAAGGATCGATGTCTGCCATATCGTTAAAATGAGTATCCTCTGTTTCATCCGCTCGATAGAAAGCTTCTTCCTCATATCCCAGGTAACTATTATCAATAACATGCTCCTGTGCTTTATCCCTTTCAGCTTTCTCTCGCAACCTCCTCATTCTACCGGTTTCTTCGGAATTTGGTAGATTTTGATCTTCGTGTCTCAACCAAGTAAGATTTGTTTTGGAAAAGTCAACTAGACTCTCAACACTCCTGTAGTCGGCCACCTTTTTGGTATCATGTCCAAGAAGTGTCCCCTTGGGAGTATATGGTGTTTGTTTCGCATCTCTTCGACATTTTGCGCATGAGCACATCTTCAAGCATTTTGGACACTCCCAGTTTTCCATCTCCATTACCGTTTGAGGCATCATGTCAAAGGCTCGCCATAAAGTTCCATAGCAATAGGATGAGGAGCAGGCAGTACAGTGCGCGGACTGCCAATTCCAATGATGATTGCAGCAGATATGACAAGCACTTGTCTTGTTTTTAGTGGCCTGGATTCTTCCTCTCCTAGAAGGCTTTCTATATGGTTTCTTTAGGCGCCCTTCATCGTCAGCTTCTGGCTCAACATCCGACTCACCATCTAACGGCTCTATTACATCTGGTTTAGTGATGTCTTTCCATGGCCGGATGGCAAGTTGTTCTTGACATATTTGAGCAACGGTCTTCTTGCCAATTCTGTCTCTTTCCTCCTCTAAGGTTTTAGGTGAACCTTCGTGAAGAGGTTCAAAATTTAATACCACACCGCGCCATAGTTCATAGTTTTCTTGAAGTTCATCTTCCTTCCATTGCTCGACCCACTCCAAACAAGAGATGCAAGCACAAGAACGGCCCATGGCGTAACACTCCATACAAATATCATAGGTATCTTCCTCCCCTGTAGGAGCTGTGAGAATACATGACTTGCATGTCAAGAAACGATTGAAGATATTGCATCGACAATATGAACAAGTGACGTTTGAATCGTATTGGATATATTCCACGTTCTTCTCAGGGCGCGAGCGAGAGAAAAGCTCACTGATCAGTACTTCTGTGTATAATTTAAACAAGCGTTTGAAATCTTCCATAACCTGCCTAATTCGACTTCCAGGTCTCATCCACATCTTTGGCTCCACTGTATCTCGTGAAAGAAGGCGATAGTACTTATCTAGGGTGTAATAAATGATAGCCTTATTCTTGTATTGTTCATCTCGACAAACGAGACGGGCACGGGGAAGAGCTTCATGGATGGCAAGCTCAAGCGTATCTACAGTGGTTCGATTCCATGCAGCTTTCATTGTTCGAGTCCCACGATTCCAAACCTGGTGAGGAGCAAGGGGCGGAATCAGAATCAGATCACCAACCTTTTGCTCCGTCACCCAGACATTGAATGGGGCTTTTCTCCAGGCGTTCAGTTGTGCAAAATGCTTTTCAACTTCTATATCGTGGCCAAGTTTGGAAACGAACCATTCCGATACCAGTTCTCTTTCTTTGGATTCTGTCATAAACCAAATCGAACTGCCAGGTCTCTCCTCATCACTTCCACCCGAAGTTTCTACCATAAGATTGTGTCCCAAGCTTGCGCACATTTCTCTGTGAGCTGGAGTGTAAGTACCTTCGTGACCAATATAACACATCATATTCAAAGCTCGCATATCTGTCGGGAGACTGCTCATTAGGTCACCTGCGGGCGCAACTCCTTTTCCAAATCGCATCTGGCCAAATTCATTAGGCTCGCGGATGGCTCCATCACCACCAGTCCGCGACTCGATACAATCGTTTAGGTAAAAAAAAGCTTCCGGCAAAACGTCTCTTAAATTTTCTTCCCATTCAGTAGGGCAATCAATATCTTTCAAGTATAATCGCTGTCGTTTTGGATCCCGGTAGGTTTGAGGTGTAAACTGATTCGCTAGTTGGCCCATCGAACGTAGGTAATGTCCCATAGTCATTTGAACATCAATGCCGCTGGTAATGTCTCGAACCTTTTGTACTGAAAGCAAAGGTAAGCTTAGGAAATGTTTTACTGAAAGGAAAATCGAGCCACCTACCCTCTCTGCCCAAATTGTCCTCTAACCATTTCGACGAGTATAACCAGGGTGGCATATATGAGCCCCATCCTTCAAGAATCA